TATATTATTAAACCAAAAATAAATTATTTCGTTATTAAACTCAAATTAAATTATAATAAGAAAATAAATTAAAGAAATTATATAAAAATGATAACTTTTAAATAGTTGATTTGATATTAACATTGATATATATTTTTTTCAAATTTACATTTTATTCAAAAATAAAATCATTAATGTTTTCTTAAAAACACATAAAATCGTATTACGACATCGACGGAGACAGATAATAAAATATAACATTAAAACCGAGATGTGTCTCGTTGCAATGCGCGAGTACTCTTCTAGTATATATATATATATATATATATATATATATATAGAGAGAGAGAGAGAGAGAGAGAGAGATGAGCGTTCAAATAAAAACCGCCCTAATTCTAAGAAACCGTGTAAACCAATCTCATTCATCCATTTTATTGATCAACGGTTAAGATTATTTTAGTTTATTGAAGGAAATAAAAAAAATACGTACTAAAAATATAATCTTATATCATCAATAAGGGTAAAAGTGTAAAAGATTATTTTAGTTTATTTAAGGAAATAAAAAAAATATATTAAAAATATAATCTTACATCATGCATCAGTTTCATACACTTCAATGATGAAATTATTTCATTGCAAAACGCATACATTATGCACATGTTTCATCCTCACATTCACCTGCTAATGATACAACTAAATCTTAAATGAATCGGGTAACTATGCAAATGTTTCACCACTCCTCGTATGCGTTAACCTCATGAACCAGTTTCATCTACACGAAACTTGTTTCATCATCATATTACTTGCTGACGAACCACAAACATTATGAAGAAGTTTCATTTTCACATTCCCCAACTATATGGATCAACTAAACCACAAATGAATCGGGGTCACCAAGCAAGTATTCCACCACTCATTGTTAATCCCATGTCATGAACCAGTTTCATGATGATGAAACCTGTTTCATCATTTTGAATTTTTTTCATCACTGTTTTTGAATGAATTAATCACGAACTTACAATCTCCAATAATCACAATCCAGATTCACTTGGATTACACTATTTTTAATTTTTATTATCATAATATAATTACATATTTAAAAATTACCATTTTTAAGAATTTCATTATTACTTTTCCATAATTAATACTCCTTAATCATTTCCATATTTAATAGAAATAACTTAAATGACCGAAATACCCTTAATAATTAAATTTAATTAAAAAATAATAGAATTTTTCTATTGGTTGAAATTGGTTTACACGGTTTTTTAGAATTGTACGGTTTTTAATTCAACGTGCCTCTCTCTCTATATATATATATTTATATATATATATATATATATATATAATAAATGCTTATCAATATATGTCAATCAATCACTTGCAGAAATTCAATTGTTGTTTTAGATTGCATTTCATTAATTGTTTACTATAAATTATGCTCTATTTTAACTCGATTAAATACTCTTTAAAAAGGTTATAACTATCGTGCATTGTGTGGGGCGCACACTACTTACCTATATAACAAAACAAAATTTTGTGTTTGAATGCTTTT